CCCTGATTTATAGATTATATTATCCATAGATTTTTATTAATATGTTTGCTCTAGGAATTTCTAGGTCCTCCAGCACAACTCTGCAGTCAATGTCTGCCAGAAGTCGTGCTGGAAGACCTAAAGATTCCTAGAGAGAACACTTCTCTAGGCATCCATAGGTCCTCCACTGCAATTTTATGGTCAACCTTCAGCATATGTTGACCACAAACCTGTGCTGGAAGATCTAGACTAGATTCTAGAGATTCCTAGAGAGAACATATAAACATATATTTTTTAAAAAAGTGTATTTTTTATTTGCAGTTTTCCCACTTTCACGGGGATCCTGTGCCCCTAATCCCAGCAAACGTGGTGCACACTGAAAATTGTAACATTACAGTGTAGTTACCATTACAGTTGTAATGTACATGACAATTGCATTACATTTAAAGTTAGCACTATACTTACCTGGCAGGGGAGATACCAGGATTATTAAGGTGTCTTTTCCAGGGTGAGGCTCATTCATTGCACTCCAGATGCGCTGACCCCTGCAATTCCTCCAAATGCGGGAAACTCAACTGCATAATTTGTGATTTTCAGTATACAAATGATTTGGGGGTGAGGTCTACAGACAGTATGGACTACTAAAAAAACAAATGATCCATCAGCAAATCAAGCCTGAACTCTCCCTAAAAGCTAAGACGATTAAACTGAGGCTGTTGTACTTTGGACATATCATGCTTGGAAATGTGGAAAGCAGTCGGAAGAGGCTACATTACAGGTATATTGACTTATAATTAAATGAAGCCATGGCTGCCCCGACTTTGCGAGACCTAAGCAGGGCAGGGCTGTTGAGTCTTGGGGAGATCTTGTAGTACCTTTGAGACTAAATGAAGGAAAGAAATGGGCAGCATGAGCCTTCGTAGACTTTGGTCTACTGGAGATCTCTCATTCATTGGGTTGCCACAAGTCAAAGCCAACTTGACGGCGATTAAGGACAACAACTTAAAGGCAACGGCTGGATGGTTTAAGGCATTCTGGTGACAGGAGGTGCCACTGTCTTCCTTGCCTCTCCGCAAGGTGAAGAAAAGAAATCCAGGCATGTGAGCGGTGGAGTCACGATGTTCCAAGCCGGGCCCCCGAAATATAATGAAGCCTCCAGGGAAGCCAGTGTCTGCTCTTTGGTTGAGAACGATGCTGTTATATTTAGACGGCGGTACAACATTTTCTGTTTAACAATTCCATTATTGGGCATAATGTCTGGGCTGTATGACATAATGAAGACCTGTGGGACTCGGTGTGTTTTGCCACCGCAAAAGACCTGTGCTGCTTTTGTGTGGGTAGGAATGGAAAAGGTGAGAAATGAAGGGGTTGACTGGACCTTTTGAACTTGGGGCAGGCAGCACAATATTTCGATGCCCCCCTCCCTGTTCCCTCCACCTCCCAATTCCTTCTGCAGAAATGAATAGACAGGTTGCAAACACATACCCTCCAACATTTCATAGGTGAAAAGCAGCACATCTGTGGCCAAGCAACATCCGAGTGTGGTCAAGGTGGCAAAAGGTACGAATGAAGACGAACACACAAGCTAGGAGAAGCTGCAGTGGTTTGCTTTTGCCGAAGACGACTGGGAAAGGCAAGACTTCCCCATCTCTCCTCCTCCTCTTAACTGAGTTTTGCCCTTTGAAATCAGTTTGCAACAGTTCAAGTAAGCGGAGGATAAAGGAGGAAAGTGGGAGGAGGAGGGAGAAATTGGAACATCTTAAAAAACAGTCAGAAATGTGGGACAACAAAGGATTAATGGGTACTGTCTATGCCAAACTGGGTATGCAAACAAGATCATCCAATGCTGTGGAGAGCCAGCGTGGCGTAGTGGTTTGAGTGTTGGATTATGACTCTGGAGACCAGGGTTCGGTTCCCAGTTTGGCCATGAAATCCACTAGGTACCCTTGGGCAAGTCACACTCTCTCAGCCTCAGGGGACGGCAATGGCAAACCTCCTCTGAACAAATCTTGCCAAGAAAACCCCAGGATAGGTCCTGCTTTCACAGATGAAAATGAACGTGTGGCTGAGTAACATCAGAGTGTAGTCAAAATAACAAAAGTTGTGAATGATGAAGTACATGCAGGATAGCGGAGGCTGCACTGCTTTGCTTTTTGTTCATTTCTGTGTTTTAAACACTCTTTGTTGGTGGTGTCACTGTGTGCCTTCAGGCCGTTTCCAACTTATAGTGACGCTTATCATGGTGTTTGCAAAATTTCTTCAGATGAAGTTTGCTGTTGCCTTCCCCTGAGGCTGAGAGGGTGTGACTTGCCCAACTCTTACAACTGTGTTTTTAATAAGGAGGGCTTATTGAATTATTTTAAATGTATGCACTCTACATTAATTTTGTCATATTCTGCTTTAACCTATGCTATGCCGCCTTGTGTCCCAAATGGGAAGAAAGAGTGAATATAAAATAATAACTATTGTATGGATTTTTCCTATATAGGCCTATGACTAACATTAGTCCAAAACATACTGCAGAAATACTCCAGTTTGAGACTGCTTTAACTGACTTGGCCCAGTACTAGGGAATCCTGGGAATTGTAGCTTATTGTGGCACCAGATGTTTCTGACAGAGAAAGGCTCGATGTCTCACAAAACTATAGATCCCAGAATTCCCTATCACTGAGCCAGGGCAGTTAAAGCGACCTCAAACTGGATTATTTCTGCAGTGTGTTTTGAACCATTGACAACTTGTTTCCCTTTGGCCTATATGATTTGTAAACACTTTTTGCCGATGAAGAAGCCAATGGAGCGTCATTGAAAGCTTGCAAGATGTATAATGTGCATTTTGCTTGGCCCCATAAAGGTATCACTGTTTTGTGGATTTTGGATGAAATTGTCTCTTGCTATATGGCCAACACAGCTACCCCTCAGTATGATTCCTTTTCTCCTGAGGCAGATGGAGACAACATGGGGGAAAGCAGTTTAATTTTCCTCTCAAGATAGTCCCCTTTCTGAATCTGACAAAGAAAAGAGCCACCATGGTTTGAGTGCTGGATGAGGATTCTGAGAAGCCAGGATTTGAATCCTTAGCCATGGAATCTCCCTGAGTGGCCTTGGGCAAATCACACTCTCTCAGCCTCAGAGGAAAGCATTGGCAAACTTCCTAGAAATATATCTTGCCTAGAAAACCCTAGGATTGGGTTGTCATAAGTCAGAGCTGGCTTGGCTCAATGCTATAGAGTCCTGGGATTTGTAGTTTGTTGTGGCACTAGAGCTCTCTGACAGAGAAGGCTAAATACAGTCACCCCTCCATATCCTCGGAGTTTTTTTATCCATGGATTCAAGCATCCATGGCTTGAAAATATTTTAAATATATATAAATTCCAAAAAGCAAAGCATGATTTTGCCATTTTATAGAAGGGACACCATTCTACTATGCCATTGTATTTAATTAAACTTGAGTATCCAAAAAGGATCCTAGGGCCAAACCTTAGCATATACCAAGGGCTGAGGTTGTAGCTGTCAAAACTACAGATCCCTGGATTCCACAGCATTGAGCCATAGCAGTTAAAGCGGTGTCAAACTGTATTATTTCTACAGTGCAGATGCAGCCTCAGAAGATGGCAATGGCAAATTTCCTCTGAAGAAATGTAACTAAGGTCCAAAACACACAGCAGAAATAATCCAGTTTGAGACCACTTCAACTCCCCTGGCTCAGTGCTAAGGAATCCTGGGAATTGTAGTTTGTTGTGGCACCAGGGGTCTCTGACGGAGATACTTCAATGTTTCATAAAACTACAGTTCCCAGGATTCCCTAGGACTTAGCCAGGGCAGTTAAAGCGGTCTCAAAGTGGATTATTTTAGACCTAAATTACTTTTTAATCAAAAGAGGTAACTTCTTGAAGATACTGAAGTAAAATAAAGCAGACAAACTATCAGCAATTCAAAAGGAATAGGAAGGAAAATGTGTGTTATGGCTTTATGTTATGTTTGATATTAGTTGTGTTGTGAAATTGTTATGTAAAATAGTATAAATGTAGTATAAATGTGACAAGTATATAAATTTTTTTGTTTATTTGTATTTTAAGAAAGTAACAATAAAATAAAAAAAGAAGTAACTTCCTATCATCGCTGGACTTCAGCCAAACCCAGGATGGGTAGAAAGAGAGGCATTTTGCCTCCAAAATGAAGTCCTCCTGAATGGCAGCAACTCGAGCTGAGAGAAAGGCCAAGATGGCCTCCCCAGCGAAAGAGCCCCGTTGAGGAATGGGTCTCCTTGTGAGGGAAGGGCGCCTGTGAGGAGAACATGGGCCCAAAGCCCCACATTCAAGGAAGAGCAGCTTGGCTTCGGCTTCTGTGGGGCTTTGGGCTGCCCAGGTGGACATTGGCCTACTTTGGACGCAAAATGGCCACCAGGCTATGAGTCCAGCAGTGAGGTGTTTCGACATTTGTTGTGGCTTTTGTTGGTCTGAAGAGCAGAAGCATCTCCTTCTCCTCATGGTCCCCTCTTTCTCTTTCTCTTTCTCTCTCTCTCTCTCACACACACCTTTCTTTCTCTCTCTTTCTCACACACCTCTATCTCCTCACTCTCCAAGCACACACACTCTCACACACACCCCCTTTGCTCTTATTCTCTTTCACAAATATACCTTTTCCTCTCTCACACTCTTGTCCCCTCTCTCTCAAACACTTGCCTTTTCCTCTCCCTCAAACCCTTGCTTCTCATGTTTTTGTGTTATCCCCCTTGCTCCCCCTTCTCACACATACACACAATTGCCCCTCCTTCTCTCTTTCACACTCACACACAGATTGTCTTTCTCTTTTTCACACACAACTGCCTTCCCCCTCTCTCTGTCACAAACACACACATTCAAACATACACACTTGCCTTTCTATCTTTCACACACAATTACCTTTCTCTTTCACATAAGCACATAAATA